ACTTGAAAGACATATTTCGTTGTAATGCTTTGTAATGATTTTCAATTATGGAATATTTCAACAACATGGGATATCTTTTCTACATATCTTAAGTTTGTTTTTTTGGTTGGATTACCAAAAAAATCCATCCATCCATCTGCTCTTGGTCCGGCCCTTCGGTCACATTTTAGAACCCTTTGTGGCCCACGAGTCAAAAAGTTTGCCCACCCCTGGGTTAAATGATAAAAAGTACCCACCTACCGTCAAGCAAACAAATCCTAATGCTGTGAGGTCAGACGGTTTCTACGAAGTGAAACCGGCTGCTGAATCAGGCTAGGTGTTTTTAGGGTTAATGTATTGGACAGTAAAGTGCCTTCTTTGATTTAAATTGAGCCACGACAGAGCGGAATCCATCTGCTAGATTTAATTAAGCAACCGAGTACGAGTCCTGCTGCTTTGTTCTGAGCGACTTGTATTTTTGTGTGCACAGATTTTAGACCCCACAGTGCTGTAAATCCCCACCCACACACTCCTCCATGTGCAGTATGGAGTAACGCACGAGCAGCTGCTGTGGTGGACTCTGCCCCGGCCCCTCACATGACACAGGAGCAGGCTTAAGTTTACACTGTGGACGGCTCATAGCTTCTGGTCATGTAGTTTAGTGTTGTCACGATACTTTACTAACATTACAGACATACATTTCACACTCAATCTACATAATAAGGAATAGACTCAAAACTTGAATACTGATTGTGATACACTTTTTATTTAGACAATAGTATGTACTAATATCTGTGTAATCCCAGTGGTCCATGTGTGTATACTAGTCTATGTGCTCTGATACTTGTTCTGATGCAGCTCAAGATCATTCTAAAGCTTCAGGAAAGGCTCAGAATCATTAGTGTATCATTCGTTCATTTGTTTTTCAAAATAAAACCAAAAGTAAGAAAATGAAAAAAAAAAAAACAACTATTTTCTTCATTATTTGTCTCCAAAACCAAAATGAAAAAAACTGATAATGATTTGTTTTTTCAGTTTTCAATTTTGTGTTTAAGTGAATAATGGAAAAAAAAATCGTTTCCTGTTTCAGTGATTTAAACTACGATGCAGGACTTTTGCATACGGACTGAACCAGGACTAAAACAGGACTAAAACAGGACTGAACCAGGACTAAAACAGGACTAAAACAGGACTGAACCAGGACTAAAACAGGACTGAACCAGGACTAAAACAGGACTAAAACAGGACTAAAACAGGACTAAACCAGGGCTAAACCAAAACTGAACCAGGACTGAGTGTCGGAGGTGTGCTATCGGGTGATCAGGGCTGAGACCGGGACCAAACCGGTACTAATACCAGGACCAAACCAGGATTGAGACCGTGACCAGACCAGAGCTGTGACCAGGACTGAGACCGGGACCAGGACTGAGACAGGGACCAGACCGGGACAAGATCAAGACTGAGACCGGTTTAGTCATGGTTTAGTCCTGGTTCACTCCTGGTTTAGACTTGGTTCAGTCCTGGTTTAGTCCTGGTTTAGTCCTGGTTCAGTCCTGGTTCAGTCCTGGTTTAGTCCTGGTTTAGTCCTGGTTCAGTCCTGGTTCAGCTCTCCTTTAATCCGGGTTCAGTCCGGCATCGCATTTTAAGTCACAGAAACGGGAAACAGCCGTTTATCCGTTTTTTTCTATTATTCATTTAAATACAAAATCAAAAACTGAAAAAGCGAATCGTTATCCATTTTTTTCATATTGGTTTTGGAGACAAATAATGAAGAAAATAGTTGCTTTTTTCATTTTTTTCATTTTTGGTTTTATTTTGAAAAACGAATGAACAAATGACACAAGTATTGTTCAGTTCTAGTCTGTAGATGTGACTGTTTCAGTATCGATACCTGCTCAAATGGTGACACTTTAAAAAACACTAATTTGAAAAAACATTTGAGCAGAGAATCTTTATTTGTCCCACAATGGGGAAATTCTAGTGTTGCAACAGTATAATTATAGGGCAGTAAAGACGTGCTCTGAGCATTGAATCGTCCTAAACTGCCTCTTCATAAGTAAAAAGGCAGATTACTCCCAAACTGAATCTAACTCACTCCAGGCCTTCTCCTGTGTGCTGTGCTCCATAAAATCCTTATAATCCTAATAAAATAATTAGTCGACTAATAAAAGATTTTATTATTATAAACAGGATTATAAACTGTTTATACAGACAACAGCCTAAAGAGCGCCTGGAGTGAGGGAGCTGCAGATTTGGGAAGGAACTGTGAATGTATTCTGCCTTTTTTCATCCAAATATGAAATAAAAGAAATACTGTTCTTGTCTTCTCACTGAACTTTGGGTTAAATATGGTCGGATCGTAGAGAAAATTCTGAGACCTTGTGCCAGTGCCCATTTTTAGTCATTTAATAAGTGTTGTCTCCGTACTAACATTTGAAACTATAGTTTGAGACTAAGGAATAAACTCAAAACTCAATACTCAGTTGATTACAATATCATCGGTCTGCAGAATATAAATGGGCATTTCTTCTCTAAATGGGAACGCCTCCCGTTTTCTTCTTCTCCTTCCACGAGGAACTGTAGCCATCCAGACTAACGTATATACAGTGTTGGGGAGTAACAGATTACATGTACCGGCCTTACGTAATCAGAGTACAAATTATGAGTAACTGTAAACCAGGACTAAAACCAGGACTAAACCAGGACTAAACTAGGTCTAAACCAGGACTAAACCAGGACTAAACTAGGTCTAAACCAGGACTAAACCAGGACTAAACTAGGTCTAAACCAGGACTAAACCAGGACTAAACTAGGTCTAAACCAGGACTAAACCAGGACTAAACCAGGACTAAACTAGGTCTAAACCAGGACTAAACCAGGACTAAACCAGGACTAAACTAGGTCTAAACCAGGACTAAACCAGGACTAAACCAGGACTAAACTAGGACTAAAACAAGGACTAAACCAGGTCTAAACCAGGTCTAAACCAGGTCTAAACCAGGACTAAACCAGGACTAAACCAGGACTAAACCAGGACTAAACTAGGACTAAAACCAGGACTAAACCAGGACTAAACCAGGACTAAACTAGGACTAAAACAAGGACTAAACCAGGTCTAAACTAGGACTAAAACAAGGACTAAACCAGGTCTAAACCAGGACTAAACTAGGACAGGTCTAAACCAGTAAAGGACTAAACTAAACCAGGACTAAACCAGGACTAAAACAAGGACTAAACCAGGTCTAAACAATATGACATACTTTAAAGCAGCAGTGATCTCTTATAAAAATCATTTCTCTATCAATAATATTTTTAATTTGGTTAAGTAAAGACTGGACTTTTTATTGTCTTTTAACAGATAAAACATCTTATGTTAAGATCCTCGTCTTTGCTTCTCTACAACAAACAAAAGTCTGTTCATGGAGACTTGGGCTCAACAAACAATTTGAAGAAAACCAACGAGAATTTTCAGGATGTTGTTGTTACATTCATGTAGTTTTATATTATTTTATATACAATATCAAGTAATCCAAAGTATTCAGATTACATTACTCACTTTAAGTAATTTAATGGATTACGTTACAAACTACATTTTGGGGTATGTAATCTGTAATCTGAAGGAGAATACATGTTAAAAGTCACCTTCCCCACACTCTGTATATGTCAAAGTAAGAGTTGTACATTGACATTAGCACTGAACCCACAGACGTATATAGGCGTATATGTCTATATGTCTGTGACTGAACTGAATAGTAAAAGCAGGAATTTCAATGGTCAAAGCAAAAAGGAAACACATGTGTTTCACGAGAGGTTATGTCCGTCAGTACAGCTGTGCGGTCTATCAGTAGCTAAGGTCAAGGCTCATGTCATGCTGTCGTTAACTTGGTTGCTTTCATTGTCAGTGGACATACCACAGAGGCTCTGATCACATTCTAACATGATTCTGTTTATTTACATTTAACATGATGCTGGAATTACTCAAACTGTACAAGTAAATGATACTTACAGATATAACTTCTTGTAAAACACACATGTTGCCTTTTTGCTTCTACCTTAGACAGTATAGACTTATGCCTAGAAGAAGAAAAAAGCAGAAGAGTGCAAAACTCTTTCAGATTTTATTTTTTTTTTTTTTGTAATTCTTTATTTTTTCTTTTTTTTAAGTTGTATGAACAGGGCAAATACAATACAACCTGCAGGTGTGGATTAATTAAGAGAAAAATAATAATAATAATGAATAATAATTATTACAGCCAATTACAAGAAAAACTAAGTAATGGGTCAATCAAAGTCTGGTCTCACAGTATTTATATATCCAATCCACCGTTTCCATTTGCTTTTAAATTTGTCTTGTTGCAGTCTTATGCTAAAAGTAATTCTCTCCATCTTAAAAATATCATAAACAATCTCAAACCATTCATCCAGTGTTGGTACTTGTGGATTAAGCCATTTCCTGGTTATAGCTTTTCCTAGCAGCCGCACTCACAATCTGGAACAGGTATTTAGCTTTATACGTCACAGTTTCACCCATCAGGAAACCCAAGTACAATGTTTCAAGTCGAAATGATATGTCAGTACAGAACACAGTTTCTAATGATTTGTGAATTTCTCCCCAAAATGGAACAATATGAGGACACGTTTGATGATTTGGTGTAGTGTCTTTCCTGGTGTTTTAAAGAACCTAACCAAATTCTTCCAACAAAACTCTCTCCATATTATGAGTTAGAAGTTTTTCTTTCTGATTTTCAACATTAAATAGTAGACCATGTGGACTTATATGTGTGTAGTCCCTCAGTGGTCCCTCAGTATGCTCTCCATACTAGTCTGTGTGCTCTTATACTTGTTCTGATACTCAACATCATTCTAAAGACATTCAGGAAAGGTTCACTTCTGTTCTGTGAATGTGACTTTTTAATATCGATACCTGCTCAAATGAGTATCTAGTTTCAATACTAGTTATAGTATGAATGAGTATTTGATTTTCCGTCCTTCTGACATCCTCTCTCTCTCTCTCTCCACAGGGAAGATGGAGAGCCACTACCACCAAGGGGCCAAGAAAGGACTGAGACCATCTGTGGCGTTCTGACATGGACGAGATGAACCTCACAGCGCAGACCCATCGCTCTCCAGATTATAACCCACGCACCGTACCAGGACCTGAGTGATCATGACATCATTTAAAGGTCCTACAGTACCTGAAACATGTTCTAATGTTAATTTAAGTTACCTCATCAAAAACAGACCTGGAGTTTTTTTTGTTTCATTCATACATGTTTGAATAAGCCTTTATTATCAGTCTGTCTGCATCTCCAAACCTCAAACTGCTCTGTAACATCTCCTTTTACCTTTACTTCAGCAGAAACTGGCAATTCCCGATCTCAGATAGATTGACTGATATGGGTATTTCCGTGGCCAATGCCGATACCGATTGTTTAAAATCCAGATGAAGTGATATCTGATACCTAGGACAGATTTGGATTATTTTCCTTGAATTAAATTTACTACAAACTCCCCCACAGCCCTGGTTTACCACAAACCCATAAGAGAACTGTGGAGTCACGTTTAGTACTGTGCTCTCTTCTTATTATAAGGCTTTGTGTGTGTTTTTAGGCAGCAGATCCACAAAAACAAAATATCATATGATAGTTGACTCACTATCGCTAGTCTTAAATGATCTAAATGATTCTAGTGAAGTTGTATGGAGTTTAAAAATACAGAGGAGTACTTTCTGTATTACCACATGACATCACAAGGTGGAACAGAATTAGGACTACGTTTACACTGAAACGAATCCGCGTATCACCGTATCGGAAACAATCTGTGTCCAGACATGTCGTTTCTGTGTCAGCAAACCTTCCCTATCCACACAGCTTTGAGCACATTTGTTTACGTTTTACATAAACTAAGGCTGCGTTCAAACTGCAGCCTGAAGTGACCCAAATCAGATTTTTGGCTTCTATATGACCTGTATCTGATCTTTTAATGACAGTCTGAACGACACAGATCCGATTTTTTCAAATGCGACCCAGGACACTTATATGTGCACGATATGTGCTCCTGAAACAGATCCATATCTGATCTTTTGACATGCGACTTCAGTGTGAACGGCCAAAGCGCATTCGTCCGACCTACACGTTATCAACAAGACACAAACATCACGATTCTGCGCTAAAGTAGGCGAAAATTGTTAATGAACTCCGTGTCACTGAAGTGAAGCACATCACCACTCACCACTCTTGGCTCCGTCTCCACATCCACACGTTCCTTTCAACAGGACTGAACCACAAAACACCACGACCAAAAACCTCGTCCTTCTCCTTCTCAATCTCCTCCTTAAAACAAGTAAGTTGTTCATGTTCTGGCTCCGGTACGAGAGGAACTTTAAAATCTCCAGGTGCTCAATGCTGCGTCCATGTTTGAACAACTTCCGTAAACACAGATCACGCTCGCTGCGGTTGACGTCGTCGTGTCTCCAGTGTCACATGCGGGACACTTTTGGGCCGTTTAACGTTCACACTGGAGTCACATACAAGTCACATTTAATTGGAAACGTGAACGACCTCGCAAAAACATCAGATTTCACAAAAAAATCGGAATTGAGCGTTAAGCCCTGCAGTCTGAACGTAGCCTACGTGCTCAGAAAAAACAGCTCGTTATTGTGCGCTGATGCAGTTCGGCTTTTGTCGGACTAAAGGACACGACTCAGTGGAATATGAGTGTTCTCTCTGTGACAGTTCTGTTTGTTCTGTGCTTCTATCGCGTTGGAGATGGTTCATGTGAAACTTTTCAGAGATTATACGTCTGCAGGTCGTACACACAGACCGTTTATATGAATGAACATATACTCTAGCCTCTTAGCGTTTTGGTGGTGAATTACTTTGCGGCGCATAGAACTACATCAGCGTATCAGTGTTTTCAGGTGTCCACACAGTGCCGGATCAGCCGTTTTCAGTCAGATTAGTGTGAACGAACACTGCACCCACAATGAAAACAACTCTAATACGAACTAGTGTGGACGGGGCCTAAATCTGCAGGGTTTGTGTGTTAAACATGTGAATGAAACAAAACACAACTCCAGGTCTGTTTGTGATGAGGAAACGACATTATAACAGAGATAATTAATAAAGTTATTGAGCGACAAGAAAGCTGTAACCCTGAAGTCCTTTTGCAGGGGTGATTGGGGGAACAGTAGATGATTGCTTTTACTGTCAAATTATCGTCAATTGTGGCGAATGATTAAAAGCTAAGTACTGGGAAAGATTAAAAACAGTGCTCCCTGCCAAACACTGATCCAAAGTGACCACAGCTGTTGACAGAGTGATCTTCAGGCCACGTGTGCCCAGTTTCCTCTTGGCGTATATGGTAAATTATAAGTTCATAGTTTGTAGTTCATAAATCTGCTTTGTGGAGAGGCTTCTGTTCTCTTCACTTGTGTTGGAAGATAAAAGTTTTGGTGATTTTTATTAAATCAAATTGTTGTTCTTTTTCCAATTTTTCATTAAATTTCATTGATCAAAAATGTATGTTCTTTATTGTTTTGTGATCACGAGAACCAGAACTTTTTCAATACATTTTGCTTAAAGGACTAATATTACACTGTTTAAACTTTACGGGGCAGGAGTGCTACTTGGATGTACAGAGGTTGTGCAAAATTGTCCTTTTGGTGCTCTTCAGTGTTAGCAAGGCTGACACCACCTAGTTCCTCTGCTCAATTTCATTTCTCTCCAGCGACTAGGTCAGGAATCACATTACAATACACGATTCGCAAAAACCCTGCAAGTTCGAGTTCGGGCACCAGCCAATCAGTAAAGAGTCATACATTCTGTGTTGACAATGATTCCCAAGATCGAGGATTTGAAGCCGGAACAAAGAGAATGTTTGGTGAATTTTATGAAGGGGAAAGACGTTATTGTCCTTCTTCCTACAGGATTTGGAATAAGTTTAATATAGCAGTTAGCCCCGTTAGCGGCGCATTACACATGTCATGACCAAATAGCAGTGATTGGTTAAATAAAAAAAGTACCCACCTACTGTTGAGCGAACGAATTCTAATAGGAGTTCAGACGGTTTCCACAAAGTGAAATATCGCGTGGAAGATAAAGTTAAAATCATAACCGTGTGTTTCAGCTTTTCAGCCTTCATCATTTGTCCTGATGTTTTGTTTCATTCATATTAAACACACAAGCCCTGCAGATTTAGACTGAGTACTTCTCTCAAACCCTTTACTATTTATTTGTTTATATCTCCAAAACTTAGAATGCTCTGTTCCACCTTGTGATGTCATGAAGCGGTAGTTTTCAAGTGAAAAGTGTGGCCTTTAGATCAGTAGAGATTGGCAATTCCAGGGCTTAAATTATCCAAATGATTCTAGTGAAGGTGTGTGGAGTTTAAAAACACAGTGAAGCACTTCCTGACATCACGAGATGGAACAGAGTGTTTTCCATTTGAGAGAAAAGAACTCAGTTTAAATATACAGCATGTGTTTTAAACATGTGTGAATGAAACAAAACACAACTCCAGGTCTCTTTGTGATGAGGGAACAACATTATAACAGAGACAGAAAATAGTGTAATATGGACCCTTTATTAAAATAAAATGTTTGCCACTGTCAGTGTTGACTGACATTTTAAGACAGTTTTAACCAGTGTTGGAACGTAACAAAGTAAAAGTAGCTAAGTCAGATGAAGAAAAAAAAAGGTAGAGCGCTTCACTGGGTCTTAAAAAAGTAAAACGTAGCAGTACAGGTGCTCTACGAGGGTTTAAACAGTGGTCTTAGAACAGAAAATGACCCTTACTGGAAAATGTAAGAATGGGTAAAGTACAAACCTGAGACACTCCCAATGAATATATTAAAAGTCCTTTATTGCATGAAGTGACGCCAATGTGTTTCGACCAGCAAGATTGTCTTCTTCAGGGCAAAGTGACCACTTTGGTTTGTACCTTACCCAGTTTTCAGTCATTTTCTGTTCTAAAAGTAGTAAAGTATTGTATTTAAGTCAAAAGTTTAGGTATCTATAGTTTACTTCGTGCACTTAATGGATATGTTTACTTTTACTCCACTGCATTTGAAGTCAGGTATCTGTACTTTCTACTCCACTACATTTTTGATCTGGACTGAAAAATAACATGTACTTTTTATAATTTTTTATCATGGTCATAGTTTGAGCAAACAAAACTATACAAATAAAACAGCAAGAAAAACATATATATAATTTAGTTGTTTCTGGTGAACAAAATTTAATGCAAAAATCAATACTTTTGAAGCTTTACTTAAAGGTGCACTATGTAACTTTTTAATTGGGGGTCCATCAACTGTTTGTTTCTATGGATACATCATTGCTCTGCCTGGAATGTTCCATAGTGTGACATTAAACTGCTCTGCCTTACATTTATTTAACTACAGGTGGTTTTACAGCTCAAAAATACCTAGAAAAACTGACATTCTGACTGTGAGCAGGGGTCGCCTCTCCACAGATCTGACCTGTAATTTGGCCTTGTTTAGTCTCCATGAAGATAGAAAGTTTAAAGCCATACTGTTAAACATTCCAGACAAAGCAATAACATCTCCATGGAGACCAGAAAAGTTACATGATGCACCTTTAAAAAAACACCATGAATTTAGTAGCTTTTTTTTTCTTTCTTTCTTTTTTTTTTGTTATTTAATGTTTACTTTCACTTTCAAAACAGCATTGAAAGTAGCTACTATCTTGATACATATTCTTCTTTATAACCTATATGATAATGTAACATTAGTTTCCAAAAAAGCCAGTTTAAGCAGTAATTTAGCTCCGAGTTTCGTTTCCATGTCAGCCATTTTGTGACATGCGCAGTACTTGGCTCTGGGGTCGACTTGGGCTTGGTTCCATATCTAGAAATGTTGGTCCTAGGGATGTTAATAATCTGGCAAAGTTTCATGCTTGTACCATAAAGTGAACAATAGAGGCTTTGCACCGTCACGTGACCCCTATAGCAATGGTACCTGCGCCGCCATGACACCGGGCAACACTATGTCATTGACTTCAGCAGCGTTGGAGAAACATGGGCAGGTTTTGTTGTGTATTTGGTTGTTCTAGATGCTCTGAACGGGATAAAATGAATCGTTTCTTCACTATTCTTCTGGAAATTACTCATCAGGATCAAACAAGGGAATTATCGAAAAAAGACGCGGATTATGGCTAGAGAACATAAACCACAAAGAGATTTCCAATGGTGCCATCAAGACACCCGAAGTTTTATCAAAGTATTTGCTATTTAAAATGTTTCATAGTTTATTTAATGAAAGAAGCACATTTACTGAACTAAAATTTCATTCATTTATCCATTAAAACCTGCACTAGTTTACGATTCAACGAACCCACACTGGGCTCCTGTGATCAACATGGTGCACGAGTCGAAGAGTCTGTGAGCCGAACCTCCAAAGAATCGGCCTTGAAAAGATCCTTGCGAACGTTAGAAAGATCCACTCACAAAAAGGGATTAATTGTAGAAGACACAGTTGTGGATAAACAAGACAATAAAGAAAACATGGGTCCTACGACGAGTGACATGTTTATATGTGCGCTGGAAGATCCAGTTTCTACTGCAGCTCACACTGCAAATGTTTTCTTTTTACATTTTAGTTCAGTAAATGTGCTTCTCTCATTAAATAAACTATGAAACAATTTAAATAGCAAATACCTTGATGAAAGTGACGTGAGTGTGTCTTGATGGTACCATAGGAAATCACTTCATGCTTTATGTTCTCTAGCAATAATTCCCGTCTTTTTTTTGATAATTCCCTTGTTTTAGCTCCTGATGAGTCATTTCCAGAGGAACAGCGAAGAAACGAATAATTTTATCCCTTTCAGAGCGTCTAGAACAACCAAATACACAACAAAACCTGCCCATGTTTCTCCGATGCTGCTGAAGTCAATGACATAGTGTGCCCGGTGTCATGGCGGCGTAGGTACCATTGCTCACGGATCACGTGACGGTGCAAAGCCTCTATTGGGCACTATTTTGGTCCTTAACAGCTTCACTACAGGTGGTTTTATAGCTCAAAAATACCTAGAAAAACAACATTCTGACTGTGAGCGGGGTCGCCTCTCCACAGATCTGACCTGTATCTTGGTCTGGTTCGGTCTCCGTGAAGATAGAAAGGTTTAATGCCGTACTGTGAAACATCTCCATGGAGAAAATTTTAAGGACCGACCACCAGAAAAGTGACACAATGCACCTTAAAGTACATTTTTTTACTTACATGTTTTACTTGAGTTTTTTTTTTTTTTTTCACTTTGGTATCTCTACTTTAACTTGCATAAGATCTACAAGTTGGAAATCACACTTCATCAACTTCAACTCAACCGCAAGAAGCATCCGCACGATCGCACCTCTTCCTCTGATCTGACACGGCATTAACCCCTTCACCCCCGCGACCGCACGGCCCCTCGTTCGCTCGTTCGGGAGTCGCGTTAACTGGTGCAGCGGGGGGCGGGGCAGGGGGGCGTGTCTGCGGGGCTGTTGATCCTGCCACATCGCCGCGGCAACCCTGTGTTGACTGATCAGATGCGTGCACATGCTTGTTCCACTGCGCTGGAGGGACGGAGAGGGGGGAGGGAGAGGAAGAAGGGATGACCGGCTGTTATTAGAATCACACACTGAGAAAAAGAAAAAGAGAGCAGGCAGAAAGCAAAACAACGGGGTAACACTTTATAATAACTACACCTTATTTAGCCTTAATAAAGCATGAACAAAGACTTAATTAATAATGATTCACACTTAGTAACTACTTAATTACTACCTGAATTAGCACTTAACTTGCACTTAATTCGCCTGTGCTGTAAATAGTAACTCAATACTTCTTAATTACTCATGAACTAACCATTTGCATGTTTACAAATGCATATTTAAGTTCACATTTGATCATTTATTAATGATTAGTAAACTATGAGAGAATGATTTACTAATAATACAATACAATGATCATTCAGGCAGCTGTTATCTGTTAGTTAAGTCTTTCTGAGAGCTTTTCTAAAGTGAAGACTAATTATGTTTATTAAGCATTTGTTAAGTTTGGTCAAATTCCAGAGAAACAATAATGCATCACTGGTAAATCATTCTCTCCTGGCTTACTAATCATTAATAAATGCTCAAATTTGGACTTAAATATACATTTACAAATGCACACAAATGGTTAGTTCATGAGTAATTAAGTAAGAAATACTTATGAGTAACTATTTACAGCACAGGTGAATTAAGTGCAAGTTAAGTGCTAATTCAGGTGGTAATTAAGTAGTTACTAAGCGTGAATCATTATTAATTAAGTCTTTGTTCATGCTTTATTAAGGCTAAATAAGGTGTAGTTATTATAAAGTGTTACCAACAACGGATATGTTTTCAATCTGTATCTCTTCTTTTGTTTGTTTTTACATAACATATTCAAATCTCCATGTTACGTTTTACTGTTCTGAAACCTACCTTCACCAAAAACACTATTAACGTTATTCATTAGAAACGTATGAACATGTTTTATAAGATTCG